TATATATAAATATTTTTTTTTTATATGTTTTTGCAAAAAAAATCAAGGGTAAAAACTGTAAAAAGCACATACCACGTACAGTAAATTCCCAGTTATCTGACACCCACAGGTATTGGTAGGTGCTGGATAACTGTAAACTCAAATTTCAAAAGCCAATAGCAGGCTGGCTATTGAAATCCCACCTGAAATCCCATCTACTAAGTTACTCTACTCAGTGGGCGAGCACAATTTCCAACATGCTATTGGAATTTGAAAAAGCTAATAGCAGGCTGGCTATTTCCCTCCATTCTGTTGCCGACCGCGGAATCTAGCCGCCTGTAAAATTTGTTAGCAACTACATTTTCTAGTGTACTGTGCACCAAGCAACCGGCAATGTTTTTAATGTCCATTAAGCCACCGGCAAAAGCAAAAAAAGTACAGGACGTATATCCTGGATTTTTTTTTTTTGCTGGTTGCTTGAATGCTTGATAATGGGGAGTTTACTGTATTATATACTATGTCACAGATCTCCTGTCCCTCCACCCCCAGTGCACAGCCAACCACACCACCTACATGCGGAGAGAGAAACTGCTAGGCCACCACCATCCTGTGCCCCAGAGCCCACACATAGGTCCGGCCACTCTGCACCTCATGTGCCGGGCGACTAGCAGTCTAGTCTACTGCTGTTCCTGCATGTGTATTCAACACATGCAGGCCAGCCTATCTTTCTCAGTGGGTGCTGCACTGTCCATGCTTTGCCATCTGATGCAGATCCCTCTCCTGTTGCGGATTGAGTTGAGACATCCTTCTGCTGTACCCTATTGCTGTTCAACCCGTGCTGTGCTTAAGATTTCTGCACTGTGACCCCTTGGACTTTGTTGTGCCTGGATTGGTGCCCTGTGAACCCTACCCTTGCTGTACCTTAATGCTGTTTACCCCTAAATAAAGAACCCCATGGTCAAGAGTCCTTAAAACCACTCTCAATCTCCATGTGCGTTACGTTCCACCCACACTTGTCACACACTAGAATTCTTCCTTTTGGGCCGCCTTAAAACATTTCTAAAATAGTACAAGATAGTGTTGTAACAATGCACAGCAATCCGATTTAGACAGACATCAATTCATTTGTGACAGGCCTTGTGCTTACCCAAGATATGAACAATTCATACATTAGAAATTAAGAGCCCCAAGGCTCCAGTCACACATAGCGGTGGCGTTTTCTGTGCGGTTTTCGCACAAACGTTTATACACATGTGGATTCCCCACGTTTGCGGCTATTACTATAGTCGGAACGTGGGGAATCTGCCCATAAAATCATGCTTGGACTATTTTGCGGGATGCATAGAATTTGTACCCTGCAGACACCGCAATGCATTGTTTCTTATGTTTAGCAGGTTCCACGAGTTTTCGTACGGGCCGAAAACTGCTAATGTGTGAATGGAGACTTAAGCTTCCCTTTAAATTGAAATCTTATTTGGATATATATTTCATAATTCAACCGGCCAAAACATTTCCATAAATATACACACTTGGACTGACAAAAGCTTGCATGTTTACGCCTACGGAAAGGGTTACAGGGTAGCTTTTACTCCTAGATCCATTGGCCAGGAGGGGTATTACCTGGAGAGGTAAAGGCACGCACACTGGGAATAGTTAAAAGAAAACTTGTACTGAAAGAAATACATACACTGCCATTTTTGGCTTCTGTCAGAAAATGCTAGTTGCCTAACTGTATCTGGTTTCAATACTATAGGCCTCGTATACATTTGCGATTGAGGCGGACTGGGTCCGTTTTACAAATTGCTGCATGAGACTCATGCAAACCAATATAGACTGGAAGTGATATACAAAGCAATGACAGCTGACCGCACCCTCAGCTAACTGCATGTAATCAGACCCTAGAGGAATCATATACAGGTAATCGTAGCATGTCCGAATACATGGGAATAGTTTTAAGTGTCTCACGGAGAAATTTGTGAGACTGCCCCAACTGCAAGTGTGAACAGGACCTAAGTCGCTAAGCTCAAAACAAGCATGCAGCCAGACTTGGGGTACATGTACACTGGAATCGAACAAAAATGCAAGTTAACGGATGTACGTTTACTTGCATTTCCATAGTCTGCTAAAATCCACTGTGCTGCTTTTTTGGGTGTTTTTTTGGTTTGATCTCTACACTAAGCTATATAGGGTATTAGTTCGGCGTTGCGTTGACACGTTAGTGGTTCACAACACTCCGATGCCTTGTGC